ATGGATTTGGGGGAGCTGGCTCAGCCACGCTGGCGGTCGTTGTGGGAGGACTACGTGTGGGTGCTGGCACCCACCTGGAGCTGCCTCCACCCTCACCACCAGCTCTTGCCCTGGCAGGCCTGGGACATCACCAAGCGAACCTTTGCTTACACCAACCACACAGTGCTCCCCGAAGCCCTGGAGCGCTGGCCAGTGGACCTGGTGGAGAAGCTGCTCCCCAGACACCTGCAGATCATCTATGAGATCAACCAGAGGCATCTGGATGTAAGTGCCTTGGGCAGCGTGGGAGTTCTCACCAGAGAGGGAGACAGGGGTGGCATACATTGTGCAGTTGGGATTAGAGGAGGCACAACCCTGTGATGTTGGGTGTGTGGCCAGGTGGCTCTGACTGGTATTTTGGGAGGCTTGTGTCTAGGAAAGCCCGTCCCACCAGTCTGTCACCATCCCGCAGCCAGTGGTTTTGGCCCAAAAACTGGCCATGCATGTTCCCAGAAGCCACTCTCCATGGGATGTTGAGGACGGGGCTTTGGCCCCCTCCTCGGGACCCGCTGGGTGGGACACCCAAAAGCTAGCACTGCTCACCTCCTCTCCCACCTCCACCGGCAGCACATCGCATCCCTCTTCCCCAACGACGTGGACCGGCTGCGGAGGATGTCCCTGATCGAGGAGGAAGGCACCAAGAGGATCAACATGGCCCATCTCTGCATCGTCGGCTCCCACGCTGTCAATGGCGTGGCCAAGATCCACTCCGAGATAGTCAAGACTCAAGTGTAAAGCCCAGGGAGGGGGAGGTGGTGGTGGATCAGCCTCGGCTTGGCGGCAGCGGTGGTGCCAGGGGGGTGAGCCTGAGGGTGTCCTCTCCTTGTCCTCACAGCTTCAAGGACTTTGCGGCGCTGGAGCCGGAGAAGTTTCAGAACAAGACCAACGGCATCACCCCGCGGCGCTGGCTCCTGCTCTGCAACCCGGGGCTGGCCGAGCTCATCGCTGAGGTAACAGCACAACCTCCCACCCTTCCCACACCTGAGGGGTGCTCCTCAAACCTCAGCCATCTACAGCTTTTAAATCAAGCACAGGATGGTTGGGGTTGGAAGGGACATCATACAGTCCCACCCCCTGCCATGGGCAGGGACACCTCCCACCAGCCCAGGCTGCTCCACGCCCCATCCAACCTGCCCTTCAACACTGCCAGGGATGGGGCAGCCACAGCTTCTCTGTGCAGCCTGGGCCGGGGTCTCACCACCCTCACAGCAAAGAATTTCATACTCATGTCTCATCTTAATCTCCCCTCTTCAAATTTAAATCCATTCCCCCTTGTCCTCTCCCTCCCTGCCCTTGTCCCAAGCCCCTGCCCAGCTTTCCTGGAGCCCCTTCAGGCACTGGAAGCTGCTCTAAGTTCTCCCTGGAGCCTTCTCTTCTCCAGGCTGAACACCCCAACTCCCTCAGCCTATGTCTAGAGCAGAGCTGCTCCAGCCTCTGCTCATTTTTGTGGCTTCCTCTGGACTCAAGCTCTGCTTCCCTCTCATCCAAGCCCTGTGCTCCTGCCTTTCCAGCACTGTTGGCTTTGCCAGGCAGGAGCTGTGTGTCCAACAAAGGTGACCATCCCCATCCCATGGTCAACCTGTGCTTTGTCCTCCTATTGCAGAAAATAGGGGAGGACTATGTGCGGGACCTGAGCCAGCTGACAAAGCTGCACGAGTTTGTGGATGACGACCTCTTCATCCGGGAGGTTGCTAAAGTGAAGCAGGTGAGGGGTGGGGGCAGAGGGGACAAGGCAGGGGAGGCCAGGCTGGGGGCTGACATTCTCCTTGCCCCTCACCCAAGGAGAACAAGGTGAAGTTCGCGCTGTACCTGGAGAAGGAGTACAAAGTGAAGATCAACCCTTCCTCCATGTTCGACGTGCACGTGAAGAGGATCCATGAGTACAAGCGGCAGCTGATGAACTGCCTGCACATCATCACCATGTACAACCGTAAGCCACCGCCTGCCACCAGGGGACAGGCTGCCCGGGGGTGCAGCAGCATCCCTCTCCCCCTAAGCCAGAGGCTGACACCACACTGCTGTCTTCTCCAGGCATCAAGAGGGATCCCCTAAAGCTGTTTGTGCCAAGGACAGTGATCATCGGGGGCAAGGTAAGTTGGGTCAGGGGTTCAGGTGTTTTGGGAGGAAGTCCTTGAGGAAATCATAGACTCATGGAATGGGTTGGGAGGCACCTTCAAGATCATCTAGTTCTACCCCCCCCTGCCATGGGCAGAGACACCCCGCCCCAGCCCAGGCTGCTCCAAGCCCCATCCAACCTGCCCTTCAACACTGCCAGGGATGGGGCAGCCACAGCTTCTCTGGGCAACCTGGGCCAGGCTCTCACCACCCTCACACCAAAGAATTTCTCCCTAATATCTCACCTAAATCTCCCCTCTGGCAGTTTAAGACCATTTCCCCCTTGTCCTTTCACTACAAACCCCTGTAAGAAATCCCTCTCCAGCTTTCCTGTAGCCCCTTCAGATACTGGAGGGTGCCCCAGGGAGATTTGGGTGCAGTTGTTCTCCTGGGGTTGTGTTTCCAAAGCCCTCTGGGAAGCCCTGAGGCAGCACTTGTTGGCTTCAACCCAAGCAAGGTTCTGTTAGTCATGCGAGCCCAGAAAAGCTTGGTGGCACAACACGTGAGCTGGATGAGGGAAGGGAGCAGGGCTGAATGCGTGCTTTCCTGGGCACATGGGATCTGGGTGCTCCTCGCCTGCTCCTGGCACCAGCCCCTCTGGGCTTACCCGTGGCTTTTCTCCTAGGCTGCCCCAGGGTATCACATGGCTAAAATGATCATCAAGCTCATTAACGCTGTGGCTCACGTGGTGAACAATGACCCCGTTGTGGGGAGCAAGCTGAAGGTCATCTTCCTGGAGAACTACAGGGTCTCGCTGGCAGAGAAAGGTAGCCCATGTGGGGCACAGTGTGGGGACCACCCCATGGCTGCCCACGGCTCCACCGCTGCGAGACAGCAGGTCTCACGTTTTTCAGCACAGTTGAAACCCAGAGCTGGTCTCCATGAGCCCCTTGTGTCCGTGTGTTTGGTTGGCAGTGATCCCTGCGACCGACCTGTCGGAGCAGATCTCCACGGCAGGCACCGAGGCGTCGGGCACAGGCAACATGAAGTTCATGCTGAACGGGGCTCTGACCATCGGCACCATGGATGGGGCCAACGTGGAAATGGCTGAGGAGGCTGGAGAGGAAAACCTGTTCATCTTCGGCATGAGGGTGGAGGACGTCACGGAGCTGGACAGGGAAGGGTGAGGGCTGGGGATGCCATAGGGGTGCTACCCCAGGCAGCTGAAGCAGGACCATCTCATATCAACCCTTCCCTGCCAGGTACAATGCCCAGGAGTACTACAACCAGCTCCCCGAGTTGAAGCAAGCTGTTGACCAGATCAAGGGTGGCTTCTTCTCCCCAGAGGAGCCTGACCTCTTCAAAGACGTGGTCAACATGCTCTTCCACCATGACCGGTGAGGCCTGGGATGCCATCCATCCCCTGGGCTGGGTATCCCCACCAAACTCTCGGTGCAGAGCAGCCCCTTGCACCAACCATCCACCCTCTGGCTGATAAGGTCCCATTTTCTGGCCCTGATATTGTGCACATGGAAGAGCAGTCGATGCTCTATGGATCCAAAAGGCTCTTTACACTTGGCACATTAAAGCCTGGAGTACTTTAAGGCCAAGAAGCATCCAGGCCTGCAGCCCTTGGCACAAGATAGGTGGTTTTAGGTATCTCAAGGCCTTCCCTGGCCAGAGCAATCAGCTAAGGGCTGGGGGTGTTTGCACTGGGGAAATGTTTTCCTGGTGAGCTGACACAGGGTGTGTCCTCCCAGGGCACCTGTCCAGCCCCTGCTGCAGCACCCACGGGCTGGCAGGGCTCTGTTGAAACCTGGCTTGGGGAGTTGGGTCTGTCTGAAGTGTTTGTGTTGGAGGAACCTCCAGATCTGGCAGCTGGAGCCCCACATGCTGCAGCCAGAGGTCACCACTGTGTTCCCACCTCCACGTTTCTGCTGTCGCTGACTCCTCCTTTCATCACTTCTCCAGGTTTAAAGTCTTTGCAGACTATGAGGCTTATGTCAAATGCCAGGAGAAGGTCAGCGAGCTCTACCTGGTGAGTGGCCGCCTGGGGATGAGGTGGGGGAGCTGTGATGGGGACACCACATCCCATTTGGGGTCTGGTGGGGCTGTGAACATATACGGGGTCCTGGTGAGAGGAGTCCTGGCCCAGCATCCCACCTGGAGAAGGGTTCTAGGTGGGGCTGTGCACATAGACGGTGAGAAAGCCCCTCTTGGGGCCAACGTGGCACCCTCCAGCCAACACCATCCGCCCCCGCTCTCCTTGCAGAACTCCAAGGCATGGACCAGGATGGTCATCAGGAACATCGCGGCCGCCGGCAAGTTCTCCAGCGACCGCACCATCAAGGAGTACGCCCGGGACATCTGGCACGTGGAGCCCTCTGACCTGAAGATCCCACCACCCAACCAGCCCCGGGATGCGGGCGAGGACAAGACCCCCAATGGCACAGCAGCCTAGGGGCCTGGAGACACCACCTTGGGGAGGGGGACACACACACACACACACACGTGAGCACCTAACATTGTCTCTGCTGTCTAGTCTGTGTCGCTGCTGTTTGGCTTTCCCAGGGGCAGGGAAGGGGGAGGGGGTGGGGTTTTGATAAGATAAATGTCGCGGGGAAAGTGAAACCGCGTCGCCGTGTTGCTGCGTAGGGGCTAAAAATAAACAGTGTCATCGGGGGGGGGTCGTGGGGCTGTGGGCAGGGCAGGGTGGGCAGCACAGCTGGTCACAGCTGGATGAGTCCTTGCAGGACTTGGGGCGCAGTCCCACGGCATCAGTGCTGGGGGGAGGTGTGTGGAGTTAAGGGGTGTTTGGAGTCACCCCCATCCCTACCCCATGGTGATGCTCCCAGCCACCTCTTGCATGTTGCTGCCCCAGGAGCTGGCAGCAGGATCTCCAGCCCCCGAGGGACCCGCAGTGTCCTTGAGGCAGTGAGGACGTTTCTCAGTAGTTTGGTGGTTTATTACGTACAGCAGTTAAGTTCAGTGCCACGAGAGGGGGGGGTTCCTGGGGTGGGGGGCTGAAGGAGTGCTCATGGTTGCTGCACCCAGCAGCTGGCATCACTTGATGTTCAAGAAGTCTCTGCAACAAGATGCAATAAACCTTACGCTGTGTCTCCCACCCTCCTGTGCTGCTGGAGATCTTGATTGTTCTGAGTACTGGACATGGGGCTGAGCTGGGCTTAGGGCAAAGAGGAGCTGGGGGCTGTCCCCAGGGCCACCTCCCCATGACACTTGAGTTGAGGATGGGCTCAGGGCAGCAACTGCAGCTCAAAAATTGATGCCAAAAAGAGACAGAAGGAGGGGGAGGAGCAGGTGGAAGAAAAGTCTCATGGAAGAAGAGGTCCAGGGTAGAAGAGGCCCGTGGAAGAAGAGACCAAGACTCATTCTGTGGCCACCCCCACCACCCCCTACTTGCTGCAGAGCAGCACTTACTTCACCAGGGCAGGCAACTCCGGGTTGAACGCGATGTAGTCATGGCCCAGGCCCAGCTTCTCAGGAAAGGTGATCATCTTCACCTTGGTTTTGTCCTTGTAGGCGCTGTGTGCCATCTCAAACAGCTGCCACGAGGTGGGAAACATGGTTAACAGCATGCACAGGAGACCCCAAATCCCTCCTGACACCCTAGGCCTGGCCACCCTCTGCTACCTCCCCTTTGGCCCCCCAAAAACAGGTTAAGTGAGAAGTCCCTAGACACAAGAAGGACATGGGGCTCTTTGAGTGAGTCCAGAGGAGCCCACAAAGATTGTGGTGCTCAAGCACTTGTGAGAAGAGAAGGCTCCAAGGAGACCTTAGAGCACCTTCCAGTGCCTGAAGGGGCTCCAGGAAAGCTGGGGAGGGGCTTGGGACAAGGGCAGGGAGGGAGAAGACAAGGTGGAAGGGAATGGTTTTAAGCTGAAACAAGGGAGAGTTAGATGAGATCTGAGTATGAAATTCTTTGCTGTGAGGGTGGTGAGACCCTGGCCCAGGTTGCCCAGAGAAGCTGTGGCTGCCCCATCCCTGGCAGTGTTGAAGGGCAGGTTGGATGGGGCTTGGAGCAGCCTGGGCTGGTGGGAGGTGTCCCTGCCCATGCAGGGGGTTGGGACTGGATGGTTATTTAGGTCCCTTCCAACCCAAACCAGTCTGTGACTCTATGATGCAGCCAGCACCCACCCCTGTGCAAGCCCACCCCAAGGTGATGATGGTCCCCACCTTGCGGCCCAGGTGCAGCGGCACCACAGCATCCTCTTCTGAGTGCAGGAGGAGCAGTGGACAGGCCAGCACCTTCACACTGCAGGCAGCAAGCACAGCACCGAGGAGTCACCCCAGAGCCACCACAGTCACCACAGACACTTAAGAGCCACCCTGGGTGCTGCTAAAACCCCCACAACCACCCTGACACCCCATCCCAGGCACTGCCTTTCAGAGCCGTCCCAGCACATCAGTGATGCCCACACCCCAGCACAGCAGCACCCCAGTAACTCTCCCCCCACCCCCAAGCCCCAAAAACAGGGTGCTCGAGCTTCAAAACACCCAGGTGAAGCAGGTGGGTTTTTAGCAAAGGCACCCACAGCCACGGAGGGGCAGGACCCTGCCACCACAGCATCTGCTGCTCTGTGGTGGGAACTCGGAGCACGTCACACTTGAACCAAAGGAGGTTGGCTCATGGACTTTGCTCACCAGGAACACTGGTATCTGAAGTTATGCAAACAAAAAAACCCCACTTTTAAAGCATGAGTAAGCTGGGCAAGGATGAGTAAAATAAAGAGCGTGGGCACTGCCCGGTGGGACATGTCCAACCCGCGCCTTCCTGGCTGGGTGGTCCCAGCATCATCCCCACAACCTCCACACCCTCCCTCTGGGCACTCACTTCTCATCGCTGCGGAAGAACATGTTGTTCAGGGCCAGTGAGTCCAAGACGAGGTACTCGAAGCCTGGGAACTGGCGGTAGATCTGCCAGGGAGAGAGTTGAAGGGGTGCTCAGTGGTGGCTTTGATTGCTGTACCCTTCCTCTGCTGGGGAGGAGCCCTGGGTGGGTGGGATTGCCACCACTGGGGGACCCTGTGGGCAGATCCCCCAACCCAACACCACGGGGGGACACCGTGGGCAGAGCCCCCAGGCTCACCTTGGTGACGGGGATGTGAGCAGCTGCATCACGGATGTTGGTGTAGGGTGACTCCAGGACAACAGCATCAACCTGGATCCCTGAGGGCAGAGCAGGGCATGGCTGTCGGGGGGAATGTCCCAGCACAGGGCACTGCCAGGGCTTCTGTCCCAGGAGCAGCCATGAGGTCGAGATGCCCCTGTCCCACTGAGGAGGGCAGGGATGGCCACTTGACCCCACCTGATGCTCGAGGTGACAGGGCTGCCCGGCTCCTCTGTGGCCCCCAAAATCTCAACAGGGGCTCACAGAGTGCCAGGGGGACATGGCAAGGGGCCAACCCAGCCCCACTGTCCCTTACCTCGCTCCTCCTGCAGTTTCCTGGCTGCGTTTGTGGCAACCCTGTGAGAAGGGAGGTGACAGTGAGGGGGAGCAGCTGTGATGTCCCCAGAGGGCCGTACAGCACCCTCAGGACCCTCCCTGCTTTGTCCCCTGAGCTTTGCTTTGCAGGTGCCTCCACCAAGAAGCTGCTCCAACCCCTTGGTCCATCCCCAGGTGGCACCAGTCTGGCAGCAGTGTCACAGCCTGGGGATGGTTGTGAGGTCCCAGGCCAGCCCTGCACCCACCCTGTCCCCAAGGAGTGTCCCCAGAAGAGGATGCTGCTGTTCCCGCTCCGCGCTTTGGCCCAGTCGTAAAGTGCCAGGGTATCCGTGGTTAGTCCTTCCTCCGTGGGGTGCCCACTGGAGTCCCCATAGCCTGCAGGGGACACAGCTTGGTGTCACCACCCAGCAGGGGTGGCCAGCCCTGGGAAGATGGGGACGGGGTGGTTACTCAGCAGGTGATTTTACCTCTGTAATCAAGAGCCAGGATGTGGAAGTCAGCAGCCCCCATCGCCTGTCAGAGGAGCAGCACTGCATGATGTCCTTGGGTTGGGGAGGGGGGGTGCACCCCCAGGACCCCCAGCATGGCCAGGCTCACTGTGCACAGGGTGCCTCTTGGGTCCCCAGAGCCAGCGTGAGCCTCACCCCCAGCGGGTCCCTGTCACCCCTGCAAGGAACCACTTACCTTCAAGAACTGGATGCGGTGGCTGGAAGCCCTGATGGGGAAAGGGAGGTTAAAGCTGAGGGAGGGGGGCTCCAGGCACCCTTCCCTCCAACACTGGTCCCACTGGGATGAGCTCTTCCAGGAAGGGGAGAGCTGGATGCTCTGGGGTGGGTGGGTTTTGCCATTTTCCTTTAACCCAAAGGGACTTTTCTCAGCTTGCGGGTCAGAAACCGCTGCCACAGCACTGCTGCACTGAGCCTGCTAGTTCTCAGCAGCAGTCACCAGGCACCCCTTGGGGTCCCAAGCCCCCCCAGCAACTCTCACAACCACTCACCTGGTCCCCCCGTTGCCATGCAGGTAGATGATGATGGGATGAGCATCCCCAAGGGCCTCCTCGTACCAGTGCTGGTCCTTGCCCTGCGCCTCAGCCCCTCTGCTGCCGGGCAACGTGTGCCTGGGGGGGTCAGAGCAGGGTTACCCCGGGGATGTCCCCCCAGCTTTAGGACAAGGCCACAGGGCTGTGCCCAGTGGGGATGCTGGGCCTGTCCCCACTCACCAGATGCCGACTGTGATGCCCGGCTCGGTGTCGAGGTACAGGTTGACAGTGTTGTTGACCAGCAGCTCCGGCCGCCGCAGGTCCGCGAGGAAGGGAAATGTCACTGAGGGAGAAATCACATCAACCCTCACGCCCAGCTTAGGTGGGGGGGGGGGCTGGTTGTTTTGGGGTTTGGTTTTGCAATATTTTTTTTTTTCTGAAGCAACGTGTTGTGTTGTTTTGTTGTTTTTTTTTCTTGAAACAGTTTGTGTGGAAGCCAAGGGGAGTGCTCCAGCCAGCCCAGGGATGGGTAGGCGAGCACAGCCCTCTGCCACCTCCTCCCAACCCCGATTTCCAGCCCTGTCGATGCTGCGTGTGCCCAGATGTGTTGCAACCTTCAGCAGTAAACAGGGTCGGCAGCCCCGCGCCATTACAGCTTGCAAAACCCCAGGCACCAAGGGGAAAGGTCCCTCCAAGCCCCCACTGCAAGCCCAGGGCAAGGAGAGGGTGCAACCTCACACGTGTTTTGGGGACCCTCCCCCAGCCCCCCGAATCCCTGGAGAAGGGGGGAGGGGTGGTCTCCTTCCCCAACCCCCTGAATCCCTGGAGAGGAGCAGTCCCCCAGTTGGGACCATCCCATGGTACTCACAGAAGTTCAGGAAGACAAATTTGGAGATCAGGGCAGGGAAGAGGCGGACGAGGATGGGCACGGAGGTGTAGCTGAGGAGCAGCCCCAGGAGGAGGGCACGCAGCCAGGAGCACCAGGCCCGCCGGC